TGGGGACCCCACCGCCAGCCTGGGGTGCTCCAGCCCGTGACAGGCTGAACCCACACTTCTATGGGGGTCCTTGGGGTGTCCCCTTCCTTTAAGCCCAGCTCCCATGGCCCACTGCCCGCCAGAGGGGAGGGGATGTGATGTGAAGCAACCTTCTCTGGAAGGGTCCACTGACAAACAGCCAGGAACATCCAAATTCTGTGGTTTTCATCTAGGAAATATATTATTTTTCATCTAGAAAAACACACGTGCACAATCATGGTAATTTTTGCACTGACAAAGAGCCAGGAGTGTCCGAATTCCGTGTCTTTCATATGGCAAAACACACCTGTACAATCGTGGTAGCTTTCTCATTTCCAGCTAACTCTGGTTTGTTTGTTGTTTGGGTTTTTTTTTTAACCTAGGCTTGCTGGTGAATTCAGCAGTGAAAAGGGCCATGCATTTGTTGAACAACTTCACAAAGTGAGTATTAATGATGAGCCTCACCCAGTGCAGTCACTTCACCTGTGCTATTGAAACATATTCTTAAACCCTTTAACTTTAGACACAGTGCTCCTGTTGCCACACAGGAATTTCATAAATTTAGTATTAAAAACAAATAAATACTTAAGACTCAGACCCTCAATTACTTTCTAAGAAATAAATGTCTTTAATCAAGAAGGAAACTGGCAGATCAAGTGATTAGTTATGAGCAGACAGACATCTCTAGATTTATTCAGACCTGTTGCTGTACACGGTCATGGACACAAGTCTTGTTGTCACATATCCTCAGATTTGGGGCAAAGGAACCATGTGGGTGTGATGGTGGGAGACAGCTAACGGGTGGGGGTTTTGCTAATTAACGTCACTGTGCACAAGATTTCAGAAGGAGCTGATCAGAGATGTTAAAAAGCTTTACCAGGCTGTCTCCCAAGTATCCCAGGCTGTGGAGAGCTGCCCCTCTTGGAAGCAGATGTGACACCTGCAGCTGTTTGTCACTGCCTTTCTTCCAGAGGGTACTGCTTCTGTGTCCGACCAGCAAAGGGATTATGTGAACATTCCCCAGTCTGCTTTCTGCAGAGTCAGCCAGGGTGGTTTAATGTGCCAGTGAAAACAAGTACCCGCGCTAATCTGGCTTCTCATAAAGCAATTAGGGAGCACTTACCTGCTCCCCCCTGCCAGCAGGCTGGGGGATGATGAACAGCGAGGGAAGGAGCTGCTTTAATCAGCACAACCAGCTGTCGCCTCCCAGAGCTTTTGCTGCAGTTGTACCGGAGCATCAAAGGCTGGTTAATGAAAGAGCTGCTTTTTTTTTGTCCTGATTGCCACATCTAGGTCCAGTGCATGCTGCAGGATGTGGGCTCCAACATCGCCACGCCCCTCTCCTCAGCCAGGGAGGCTCACCTGAGTAAGTCCTGGTACCTTTTCCTGGGATATGGGTTCTTGAATCCCAGCTGTCCCCCTGGGTTGGTGCTGGGGAGGCTGTCACCCGAGGGCCGTGTCTGGGTGCTGAATGGAGTCACACGGAGTCCCACAAGCTGCTCCCTGTGTGACTCGAGATACAAGCTGACCTGGGGCACTGCACTGACACCAGCCACGGCTGCTGAGGGGGGAGCCAGCCCTGCTCTAGCAGGAGGATTTTTTGGGGTGCTTTCCTTGGACTTGCTGACTCAAGAAACATGAAAGTAGAGCTCTGTCTGTAGACTGACTCATTTCTGCATTTCTTTTAGTTGATTCTTCTTTTCCCCTCTGTAGAACGAACATCTTTTAGTGAGAAGCCAGTCCTGGAGCTGGAGCAGTGGATTGACAGTTACTCAGAGCAGCTTCCTCCACTCAGAACTTTCATCTTGCCCGTAGGTACAGCTTGTGCCTCTCCCTGACTGGAGAAAAGGAGGCTGAGGGGAGACCTTCTGGCTCTGTCCAAGTCCCTGAAAAGAGGGTGGAGAGAGGTGGGGGTGGGTCTGTTCAACCAAGGACCAAGGGACAGGATGAGAGGAAATGGGCTCCAGTTGCACCAGGTGTGGTTTAGATTGCATATTTCTTCACTGAGAGGAAATGGGCTCCAGTTGTGGCCAGGGCAGTTGAGATTGGATGTGAGGAAGAATTTCTTTGCTGAAAGGGTTCTCAGGCATTGGAAGGGGTTGCCCAGGGCAGTGGTGGAGTCCCCATCCCTGGAGGGATTGAAGAGTCTTGTAGACACAGTGCTGAGGGACATGGGTTAGTCTGGGACTGGTCAGTGTTGGGTTCATGGTTGGACTCCACGATCTTCAAGGTCTCTTCCAATCAAGGCCATTCTGTGTGTTATTGTAAATCTGCTTTACCTCTTGCCATGGGAAAACAGGTTGTGAGGCCAGTATTTGCATGAACAAATACCAAAAGAAAAGCAGAGAGAAGGACCAGGTTGAGTTAAATTTCCACATCCTACTGGAGTTCACATCCCTCTTCCCAGTGGCCTGAGCAGAACACAGGGCTCAGCTGCGGGGGTGTGAGCTGTGTGAGCTTTGCTGCAGTTCCACAGTGAGGTGGATGGCTTTGTGTGTTGTTAGCAGACACTGATGTGCTGTTTCGTTGTTGTTTCAGTCAGGAGGTAGAAGCAGTGCTGCTCTCCATTTCTCCCGAGCCGTCTGCCGCAGAGCTGAGAGGTGGTGAGTGTTGGCTCTGGTGTAACACAGTAAAATTGATTAAAAGTGATCAGAATGTGACAACGATAGTAAATTATTGCACAGTTGGAGCAATCAGCCATAGCTGTTACACTGGGCTGGAGCTTGAGTCAAGCCTTGTATGTTGGTATTAGTCACATTCCAGGAGTGCAGTCAGCAAAAAGCAGATCTCATCCCTCTCCTGAACCAGGTCATCCGAGCTGAGAACTTCAGAAAGAATAGATGGGTTTGTGTGGAGGTGGTGTATTTTGTGGGGTAGCACACCTGGAAGCTGGGGCACTGGCAGCTGTGAGATCCAGGGAAGCTTTTAGCAGCTTCAGATGTTACTGCCCACACCTACCTTGTCCCATTTCTCTCTTGGAGATTAAAGCTCCCCTGGCCAGGTCTGTAGAAGAAAACTCTTGTCTGCTCGTTATGTTAATCACGTCCATGCAAAGTCTCTTGTGTTAGTCTGAAGCTGCTCATCAGCACTTCCAGAGCTGCTGGGGTTTCTTTACTGAAGGCACTGATGTGCAGGAAGATGTTTTTGTGGATGTGCTCTGCTGGGAGCATTGTGATTCTGACAAGAGACGCTGGAGCAGCAGTGATCTTCAAAAAACGAACATCACACTCTGTGGTTTCTTGTCAAAAGAAAGCTAGAGCCAGGCTGAACACCAGGGAGGAGGCAAGGAACAGCTCTGTTCCCTCAATAAAAGAAGGGTCCCTGTTTACCTGCAGAAAAGGATAATGATCCTTCATCACCTGCAAGCTGCTCCCTTTGTTCAGCGATGGTGGCTGATGAGTATCTGTTGAGGAGCAGAACGGTTAGTTGCATTGTGTAGCCACCACGGATTCCTCCTGGGGAAGTGGAGAGTGAGTGGGGACTCCGGGTGAGGTTGGGGTGTGGAGGTCGGTGCTCCAGCAAGTCGCAGTCCTGTGTTTGTTCAGAGCTAGAGAGTTAAACACACAGAAATGTTCCTCTCTTGTTCTAGCGTGGTTCCTTTAGTACAAGCAGGGGAAGCCGATCCAAACGTGGCCAAATATTTAAACAGGTAAAAAAAAATACCCCCCAAACCCTTCCTTGGGACTCTCATTCCCTCAGTCCTGGGATAAAACTGCAGGCTTTGCCTCTCAGGAAACTTCCCCTCTAGCATAAGATCTTTGGAGTTTCAACAAGCAGCGTGTTAAAAAGTCTTGTTGTGGGGCTGCAGGGATGTTACAGACACTCCTGGGCTGCTGAGGGAGCAGCCACTGAACCCCCTTAGCAGAGGCCATGTGGGAGGTTGCTTCTCGTGGGTTTCTCTTTGGCTCCCTTCGCCCGCGGTGCTCGGGCTGTAACCAGAGTTGCTTTGCTGTGTGGTTGTGCGTTGCTGGGTACAAAGACACCTGGTGTGAGAGGTGGTTTCACTGCTTTTCCTGTGGTTTCCAGACTGAGCGACTACCTCTTCGTTTTGGCACGTTATGCTGCCATGAAGGAAGGGAAGGAAGAGAAGATTTATGTAAAGCCTGAACCATAACTGGGAGCTGGAATGTTTGTTTCCTTGATGATGGGAAGCTAAATCCAGCAGAGTGCTTTTCCCCCATCAGAGAAGGGAAGGAGAACAAGCCTGGACTGGAAATGTGAGCTGCCAGGGACTCCACGTGTCAATCACCAGGACCTTGTTCCCCAGTGCTGTAAGGAACACGCTGCTCTGTTCACGGGGCCTTCTCCAGATACCCCTTGTGTGACACTGTGGTGATGGTGCCGGAGTTACTGTTGGCTCTGGGAATGAGCTGAGGTGGGAGACTGCAAAGAACCACAGCTCATTTCTCGAGAGGTCCATCATTTCCCTGGGCAGTGGCAGGTGTGAGGAGAGGCTTTGACAGGACTCTGAGGGATGGAGAAGAGAAAACAATCGGCTTCTCTTTGTAAGTCATGATGCTCGTGCTGCACAGCAGCTGTGTCGAGATTCAGGAACTCTGTCCACAAGCTTTGAAATAATAAATGTGATTTACTTGTACCAAAGGGCCCTTAACTGTCGTACTTCAGCTTTTTTAAGTTGCTTTCAATCCGTCAGCCCTGGCTGCTGCTGAGCTCTGTAGATTTACAGGAATGCACTAAGAATTCTTTGGCTCTGGCTGCCTCTGCGTGTGAAGAATGTCTCTGTCCTGACAACCCAGCACATCCTCTGCCAGGAACGGGGCTCACACAGGACAGAGGCCAAATCCTCCAGGTCATGTGCAGGTGAGATCAGTCTGTGATTCGAAGCTCTTTATGGAGCTGGGGTTAATTCCAGGTGGAGCTGCCCCTCCGAGTGCACAGACCCCTCTGGGTTTGGTCACAGCATCCCCCTCGGGCTGCAGGTACCAGCTGAAGGAGCCAGAGCCCTTGTTTGGAGGAGAAGGGTATGAGGAGAGGCTGAAGTCACTTGGTGTGTTCAGCCTGGAGAAGAGGAGACTGGGAGGAGATCTCATGGGGGTCTAGAACTTCCTCCCAAGGGGCAGAGGAGGGGCAGGTGCTGATCTCTTCTCTCTGGCCACCAACGAATGCCAGGAGCAGAGGAAATGGCAGGAAGATGTGGCAGGGGAGGGGGAGGTTGGCCATGAGGAAAAGGTTCTTGAGGCAGAGGGTGGTGGAGCACTGGAACAGGCTCCCCAGGGAGGTGCTCATGGCACCAAGCCTGACAAGATTCCAGCAGCATTTGGCCAAGGCCCTCAGGGACATGGTGTGAATGTTGGGATTGTCCTGTGCAGGGACAGGAGTTGGACTGGATGGTCCTTGTGGGTCCTTTCCAGCTCACAACATCCTAAGATTCTTTTAAGTTTCTATCTGCTGAGGACCACGTGAGTTGCTGAGTTTGCAGGTGAAGGGGTTGTGACGAGTAGCAGGGGCCTGGTGCTTCCCCAGTGGAGTTAGAGGCGAACACCTAAAGGGGTTCATCTCACACACGTTAACGTCCACATTGACCTCAGGAGTGTCACTGTCACAAGCCCTTGGCTGAGTAGACTAGAGCATGTCCTGGAGCTTGGAGAACCCACCTGCACACATCAGGACAGCAGAACACAGTACTTACCAGAGACACCCTCTGTGCCAGCTCCTGATGAACTGAAAACCCAAAACCCATCCTCAGGACACCAGCAGGTGCGTTACAGGCAGGTGAATGGGTCACACCTCAGTGCCCACCCTGCACACACAACAGCTACAGCTTCACTGTGGAGTCCAAGCCTGGAACCACAACTGTGAGAACCCCCGGCAGCCGTGGTGCTCGGAGCCTCGTAAGCAGGAGCGTCGGGGAGGCTGTGGGCTGGGAGATGGTTACGCGCAGCCAGAGCACTCGTCCTGCACTGACGGTGCCACTTGGAGCCGTGGCAGCTTTTGAGTCAGTCCTGCAGCTTCCTCTGTTCCATTATTTCAGTGGAAACAACCTTAAAACTTGCTCCCCCAAAGAGTCTCTGGCTTGTGTGTTAACTTGTTAAGCAGAGTGGGGTCAGAGTGAAGAATGCCCGGTGCTGAGAGATGCTGCTGCCTCATTAGTCACCCCGGTTTTTTTAAAACAGATATTTCATGGCTATTGTTAACACACATTTTTCACAGAGTAATTTTCCAGGCCTTAGCCTGTAACACATCCCGGTGACAAACGCTCTCGGTTTGGACTGTACCCTCAGCTGCAGTGTCACATCAGACATTTGCTCAATGCCTGCTCCAGACAGCCCAGCCAGTTTTATGATCGCTCTGTCTCAGCCATCACTATTGAACCTGAGGAATCCGGAGGCTTTTCAAGTTTAATTGAATAAAATTCTTTGCAATATAAATTCTTCATGAATGCTGTATAAATCAGCTCTGGGATGGATTTATAGTATTTTCGTCTTTTCCAGCTGGGGGGAAAGAAATCACACTACTGTTTTGGGACCAAAGCTGCTATTGTTTTGATTGCAAGGAGAAATAAATTTAGCTACTATGCTTGAATGTGATGCAGAGATTAAATTTATTGGGGTGCACTCAGCTTGCAGCTCCCTCATCTCCCTTTCTGCCCAAAGCTGTCTGTGCAATGGTTTCTGGAGGCTGAAGCGGAGGGAGGCTGGTGGCTGGGGGGAACCCGTTGTTCCCGTTCTGCCGGGGTTTTTCAGCAGGGGCAGTGGGTCAGGGCTTGGATGTAGGAGTGAGCAGAGATCAGCTGAGCTTGGTCCCAGCCCCGTGGGGCTCAGGAGAGCTGCAGGGGCCACACTGGGCCCTTGGAGAGTTCACAGCACGCAGTGTGTCCTCTCTGTCACCACCTGTATCAAAGGGACGTTTCTGCCCTCAACACTGTCCCCAGGGTAGACGGGAGCTGCTGGCCATTGCGCTCCAGCAAGGCTCCGGTCCTCGTGCACCCTCCACACTGGTTTGGGAGCAGAGGCCAGTGGCGAGGGGACACTGGGGCTGAAGGAGGGACCTTGTGTGTAGAGTTCAGCGAGGAAGTTCCAGCGTGGCCAAGCTGATGTCTGCCAATGATCATGGATGTGATTATCACAGCGATGCCTGAGGGCCTGGCCTGACAGCGGCAGGAGCAAAGTGTCACTGAAATGAAATACAGGCTTCAAAACAAATAAAGCTCCTTTGCTCTGAGTTAGCATTTGTTTTTCCAAGTCCTTTGTCCCCACCCAGCAACTCCAGCCGTACAGCCCAGGGATTCCAGTGCCTGCACCTCATTAATATAACGGGAGGAAGGCAGATGCTTTGTCCGTGCTGACCGTATGCAGAGCCCGGCTCCGCTCCTGCCTAGCAGGGTTCCTTATTTATGATCACGCTGGAGCTGCCAGCACAGACATATGTTGCTAAGGGTCGTTTATTCTTGTTTGTAAAATGTATGGCTGCTCCTAGCTTACACACTGTCAAAACTGGAAGAACTGGCCCCAAAATCTCTTGCTGCATGATTGGATCAGACGCCCGTACATCTGTTAGCGCGGTAGGAGCTGTAAAATGGAATAAGTTTCACTATAACTCAAGCGCCTCTATTACACCACAACGTGGAAGCAGCAGAGCCGGCTGCTGCTCCTGCACAAATGACACAAACATCCATTTTGCCAACTCGGATGTAAATTGGGACGAGGCAGCATTTCCTCTGCTAACGCACAGAAGGGGGGACAGGTACCTGTGTGTGTCCCCACCTTGACAGGACGCACTGGCCCCCCCAGCCTGAGCTCTGGCGTGTTGCTGCAGCTGAAGGGTGAGTTTTGGGGTGCACGGCCCCAGCAATGGGGAGCCAGCAGCACTCCAGCTCTCCTCCTCTCAAGCTGGAGGACCAGAAGGGACCACATCTGCCATCAGGTCAAGTCCTCTGCAGTTACAGATCCCTAAAATACCCATTTTTTGCCTGGAATTGGTCAAAGAAAAACCCTCCCCCCACAAACAGCTTGTGCTGCAGCGAGGTAAGAGGTGGCTGGAAAAGGGCAGGGGTGCAGTTTGGCTGCCCCAGGCTAAGAGCCACTGTCCCAGCATCAGACAGAAGCTGATTTGGCCCCTTTGTGTTGAGGAAAGGGCTGTCTTGGTCCCTCGGCTCCACCTCTGCACCCTGTCCCAGCTACAGCTGCTGGGCAGGGTGTGCACGGAGGGGCAGAGTGTCACAGCTCCTGCTCCAACCACTCTGGGGCGAAGGTGAAGCTGCACAGGGTCAGTATCAGAACTCGAGCTTAGAAACAGCCACAACAGCCCATTTCTGAACAGCCAGTGTGAGTTACTGCTCACCCAGGAGCCAGCGGGGCCAAGACCAGCGCAGGTCTGACCACTCCATCACCCGGTCGGGTCACCAACGCGCTGCAGGAGCTGCTCCTGTCTCAGTAAACGTGACAAACACAAACATAAGCAGCAGGAACATCTCACCTTGTTCTGCTCAGGGATGTGGGGACCAGAGCTCGGCAAACCCTCCTCCCTCTCCATCCGGACCTGCAACCAGCCCTGGATGGAGCGTGGGCTGAGAGGTTGTGCCAAACGGTGGCATCAAGTGGAGGGAACATCAGTCTGAGGGGTCAGTGGGGGCTTGGGACAGGCTGGAGGAGCAGCGAGAAGAGCTGTCTGCTCCCAACACTCACCTGTGCCAGCACTGCAGCAGTGGTGGCTGTGTCACCTCAGCCAGGGTCACGGCAGCCGCTGTGGTTGGGACACCCCAGCACCGCTCCCGACCAGCACCAGCCCTGCAGGAGCACCAGTCTCCAGCAATCCCTCCCAGCTCCACACCCGGCAGCGCCCAGCGAGCGTGTGGCCTCAGCCATGGTCAGATGTCACCTTGGGTCACCCCCGGGGCGCGGTGGCAGAGCCAGCCCCGGCCAGCCCTCTCCACGCGGCGATGGCAGCATTTTGCAGGCCTGGCTGTTTGCTGCCAGCTTTCTGCCTTGGCAGCATCTGCTCTGGGGTTTCTTTTTGCTGTTTCTGACGGCACCATATGCCTCCGTGTCAAAACAATGGCGCTTGCACACTGACTGGGAGCCTCTCCCGAGCTCCCACCGAGCTCCCGCTCCCCAGCAAAGCCCGGGCGCTCCCGGGGCGAGCGTGTGGGACGG